TTTTTTTTTTTTTTTTTTTTTTTTTTGTTTGTTTGTAAATCTGAAATGTAGAAATTATTTATGAATCGTGCTTCATATTTGAGAATTGTGAGCTACTATACTACCTAGCCATATCAAATTTGTTATTATTCTTTAAAGTTGTTGTGTTTAGTAATGTTCTATTTTGCCATACAGGATGCCAAAGATACTTCATCTTGTGCAAGAAAGTGCAATAATGGCACTAAACTTAATAAGTTGCAGCCTAGAGGACACTTGCAGATCGAACATTTCTTTCAAAGGACTAACCAATGATCAAGATTTGATCTGTAGTTCTATACTGATATAGGTAAGTGGCAATAACAACGAAAATAGTAATTTTATTGATATTTTTGTACTGGGAAGTTGGGAGCTGAAATTAAACATTTTGCTGAGTTTTGATGCAAGCATCAGATGCCGAGGCACCCAAATTCATAAATGTACCACATTCAAAAATTACTCAAGAAGTTAATGTGATCCTTATGACTTCAGGAAACTTTTTTTAAGAACTCTTATGATAGTTTTGTGATTATTTTTGGTTGTAGCTTGTGTTTTCCATTAAAACAACACGGTTCTTGATATCTTGCAGTTCGGATTGGATAAATTATACCAGCTAACAATGCCTGTTAAATTGGGTTATTCTTCAGGGTGTTTGGTATAAACCTTTGCCTATACTTTCTAAATTGCCTTCACATTTGCTTTACTTCACTTTTCAAAGTATGTTTCTACATAATCATGATTACTATGAGCAGTGACTATGTAAAATATGACATATAGTCGTGCACGAATTCATACTCATCGGTGTGGATTTTCCCAAGTCTTTTGAGCAGATTTTCTTCAGTCAAAGATTGTCTGAAAGATTTTGTGTGTCTTAATTAGCCTTGTAAAACTTAGGTAGATTTGATTCTACAAGTTAACTGTCTGATTACACATATTCACACACACACACACACACACACATACATTGTGCCCACAAATAGGGTGAAATTCACAGTAAAATTCTGTACTTTTAAAGTCTCTGCCATGCCTTAGCTTTACCTTCCCCAATAATGTTTTTGAATATTTAATGAAGATTGTACTCAAATTCTCTATCTTAATAGGGGGTTTAAACTTTAAACATTAACAACCCAATTTGAGATTAGTGAGATGGGTCTAGTTGTTAGGCTGGTCGACCCGTTATATTTTAAAAAAAAAATACTCGAAATGTTATACTTTTGTTAAATATTATAACATTTATGGAGAAAGTAATGTTTAATATGATAGTAATATTTTTTTTTTCAGAAAAAAAAAAATCAAGATATTTTCTGGTGAAGCTTGGGAACAAAGGTACCCACTAAACTCCAATGGGAACTTTTTGAAGTTTGAACTTTTTTTTCTCCTTTGTTATTACACCGCTGTTTC